AACTTCATGCGACTGGAATAACTTCCACCATCGCTACAAAACGTACAACGCTACTGGACTTAGCAGCAAATATCCCCCCAATACCCGAAAACAGGAGTGGTCAACTTTTGTTCGTCTGCGTATTGGACACACACAATTTTCACACGGTCACCTACTTACGGGCTCTGCGCCTCCTCTTTGCAGCTGTAACAACAACAGCAACACACGTAAAACGGTAGACCATATACTTGACCAATGCCCAACCTACCAACGGGAGAGGATAAGACTCTTCGGCAACACACCTCCTACCACACTACTTAGCGAACCTACAGCTGTAAATATTAATTTAATTGTTAAGTTTATAAATCTTTGTAATATTTTTCATCCAATTTAACTTCCAACATTCACGTCGATGGCCCTCGTAGCTAGCACGTTTAATAATTTTTAGATTTATATTTTTTATATATTATCTAATAAATAAATAATAATAATATATACATATACAAATATCAAAATGATGGCAATGCCCGATTCCGACTCTGAGGATGAGTTGCCACCTGGCTGGGAGGAACGTGCCAACGACGATGGTGTCGTTTGCTATGTCAAGCAAGTCTCCAAAATGCACAGCATAAGGAAGGGCTATTAAAACATATTATTCCCACTATGCAGTCAACAAACTAAGACAACACAGTGGACACATCCGCGAACTGGACGCTCCAAGCGGATTACCGGTGATTTGCCGCTGGGCTGGGAGAAGTACTACGACGAGCAAAGCCAACGTTTTATGTTCCATAACAAAGAAACGAAACAGCGCACAAATATTGATCCACGCCTGGCATTTGCTGTGGAGGAACCGACACTAAATATCAGTCAAGTGCGTCAGCGCTTCGATTCGTGCAGCACCGCGCTGCAAATATTACATGGCAAAGATTTACACGGCCGTGTGGCGCTCATAACAGGTGCCAACTGTGGCATCGGCTTTGAGACTGCACGTTCCTTAGCACTACATGGCTGCGATGTCATCTTCGCCTGCCGTAATCCAAGTTCAACAGCGGAGGCCATTGAGCGCATTGCACAGGAGCGTCCGGCAGCACGTGCCCGGTGTCGTTCAGTGGGCTTGGATTTGGGTTCATTGCGCGCTGTGCAGCATTTTGTCGTGGAAATCAAGCAGAGCGTTGGGTGGGTGTGGCAACTGCGGATTGTTATTCATATTTTTTTATAATATAATTGAATTTTCAGTCACATCGACTATCTGATATTGAACGCCGGCGTCTTTGCTTTGCCACATACGAAAACTGTCGATGGACTCGAGACAACATTCCAAGTATGCCATTTATCGCATTTCTATTTAACGCTGCAGTTGGAATCACTATTTGACCATCGTACGCGAATCGTCGTTGTCTCATCTGAATCACACAGGTAAGTGAATCTAGTTATATGTCTAAAGAGCGTTGAAGCAACGCTCGTTATATTCAAATGACAGCCGCTGTATTTGAATATCAACAGATACATTCAAAACAGTATTGGTTTTCTTAAATACCCATTAGTGTATCTCCTGAACTGGTAATATTTTATTGGACTCAACTGTAACAGGTTTAGTTCGTAGAAGCAGCACGTGCATGCCAAGCGCCACTAGACATGCTGTAAGGACCACCACTGTATATGAATGGAATTCACTGCATTCCGCTATGCGCAAATGGTACTAGGTCAATTTAAATGGCTGGCACTGTTGTGCTCATAATCCAACTGTATTTGGCAGCATTTGTTTGCAGCAAGTTTATTGCACTTATCGCCTGGACTTTGGTCCGGCTCGAGTCTTGAGCGTAGTTGTTGTTTCTTTGCGTTGGCGTCAATGCATTTTGTGACTAAACTATAAATAAACCATTTATACAAAAATATGCATACATACATACATATGTACATGTGTACATGTGCATGTGTGTGAGCTCCCAAATATCTTACATTTAAATAAACTAAAGAGCGCTCAGCATAGCTTGCGCACACATACATACATATGCATGTACATACATATGTATGTACATATACATATATCAACATAGGGTATTTAAATGTAATACTTCCGAATATTTTCTAATTTCTTAAAATCGCTTGTAAGACCTCTTGTACTTCTTCGAATAATGACCTTGCAACATTTGTTTGAAATAATATTTTTTTTGTTATGGCCTAACCTCGACTTCAAGGCGAGACGCAATTGAACTCAGCGTTAAAATCTGATTTGTTTACATTATTGTACTGCGCATATATAAGCTACGTCATAAGTTTGCCCTAACAAGGGGAAACCTGTAAATAGGGAAATCTTGTTGAAAGTACCTCTAACATTACTAGTTTTTTTAAGCAACCTGTTTACATTTTTATATGAGCTTGTTCCGGTGTAAAATTGCTGATTTTGGTAAAATGGTAGCGGTGCCCATATAGAGGTACCAAAAATTGTTTACATACATATTTGTATGTAATATTTATACACGCACACAGACACAAATATCCGCACTTGTGCATGCTCATATCAGCTGAAGCCACATACATACATACATACATATGTACGTTCAATTCACGTGCTGCGCGCACAAGCACAGTGGTACGCAGCCAGCATTTAACTGTTCAACAGCTTGATTTCATATAACAGCATCTGGCTACACTGTGTCTGTATACGAATGGGCAGATAAATCAACAAAACTCGGGTGAAGCGACGAATCGACGAACAAAAAGCAATTGAAGTGAAGTTGCTTATTGTTGTTGGAGGTGGTTTTTGCAGCTGCGTTTTTTCAGCTGATTCTGTGTTCGTTACCACCATCACGTATAACATTTGTTGGCTCCGCTTTTTGGGTATCTTTCTGTCTGTATCTCGTGGAAGCATGCAGCAAAAGTCGCGTGCGCCAATTGTGTACTCACTAAAAGTCATGTATGCCAGCCACTGCACACTCACACGCACGCGAGCATAGCATATGTATCTATGTATGGGTAGACTGTTCAGTATGTGTCTTTGAGCATATCTGTGCATGGGCTGTCGAATATGCGTATTTGATGATTAATGTTGAGTTTCTATTGGGGTCAGAACACACAAAGTGATAATGATAGGCGGGCGTTGCATGGCCAGGGCGTCAAGATTTGTTTGCTGCTTGGGAAATAAAATTAAGCTAATTAAAATGATTGCTATAAAAGACAATTGATAAAGAGACCTCTATGAAGAAATTAAATGAATATAAATAGGCATTATGCTAATCTTTTGTTGAGGCGATGTACTTTACGACAAGCTACAAGGCATAGAAAAAAGAAGCTTATTTTACGTTTTCAGCAGCACACAGAAGTACACATGCATTTACATTTGTATGTATGCAGCTAACTGCGTAAATATGTGCATGTGTATGTGTGTGCTCTACTAGGGCGGCATAATAAAATAACAAATTCAAAGTCCACAAATTGCGCGCTTTGCTTTGTTACATTTCATATTTCGGCATTTACGAATTGCACATGCGCTACACACTTCTGATTGACAGCAGAATGAAATCAAAATAAATTTCACGCCGTGCATTGTTGTTGTACAAAGGCTTTGTTGACTTTGTTCTAGGTTTTCATTCACGTGTAGGCGCGTTAGTCACAGTCATGGCCTGAACTTTTGTTCGTGGCTCGAGACTTGCATCTCATTAACGAGCGTTGAACGCCGCCGCACAAACAACATTAGCAACAACAACAACAACAGAAAGAATAACGATAAAGCCAATCAAGACTCGTTTGGGTCCAGCAAAGTGGTGGGTGCAAAGTCCAGAATGTGTTCAACTGGATGATGCCACAATGTTTATGAAAATACAGCAAGTCTTCGATGGAGCAAATATTGAGATCATGTTGCCAAAAAACACGTTCTTAAAATTTATATACATGATATGATTGCATATGTAAATAATTTGGTTTTGTTTCGAAGCTAACATTCTCATGCCCAGTTTGTTCGCTCGACTGGAGACTTCACTGTATGCACACATAGTCGTGAGCCAGCAATGTACAGCAAAATCAAAACAAATATGCAGAACGCGGGCCACAAACAGTAAACAATTTATAGAACTACGCGTCAAAAATAAACTTGAATTCCTTTCTCAATACCGCTGCTCGTCTCCCTCCCCCTGCTTAATCTGAAAATATTAACTAAGCTGCATGTTAAGTAAAAGCATATGTAAATACAAATGTATCTATCGCTGTCTCGACCCTTACATTAATGACTAGGGAGTCTGAATTAAAAGTAATGGCATGCATGTTTGTAAGGATCTCTCTATCTCTGACTCCCAGATTTGCCAATCTCCCGGTGGAGAACCTAACGGTACAGCATTTGTCACCGCCTGCAGATAAGTATTGGAGCATGATGGCCTACAACAATGCAAAGCTGTGCAATGTTTTGTTCACCCAGGAGCTGGCGCAAGTGAGTCATGGACTATAATTGATGCGTGATCAATGACCCAATTACGCATTTGCTTTCTTTTTCAGCGGTGGAAGCAACGGGGCATATCTGTTTTTTCGGTACATCCTGGCAATATGGTTTCCACACAGCTGTCGCGTAATTATTGGTTTTATCGATTGCTGTTTGCCGTGGTGCGGCCCTTTACCAAGTCCCTGGTGAGTAGTTTTATTTGGACTTGGAACTTTCTGTTGTTAATCTTGGCAATCCGCAGCAACAAGCGGCTGCCACGAGCATCTACTGCGCCACGGCCAACGAGCTGACCGGACTGTCAGGATTGTACTTCAATAACTGCTATTTCTGTGAGCCGAGCAAATTGTCCAGAAAAGAGGCGCTGCAGAAGCAGCTGTGGACACTAAGTGAACGACTCATACAAGAGCTAATTGACCAACCAACATAAAAATAGACTTAATTTGTCATAGTAATCTTTTTAATACTTATTCCTACATATTATAATTCTTTTTTGTTTAGTATACATTTGTTTTGGTTTTTTCTTTTATCTTAATGCTAAACAATTGTTAAAAAAAAACCTAACTACGTGCTAAAGAACAGTAATTTTTGTTCCACTGGGACTAGAAATCGGAGACGCGTCCTTTGCGCTCCCAATCGCCATAGCGCGTTGGCTCCGGTCCAGCGGGTCCGCCAATTTCGCCTGTGTAGGGATTTGTCTGGTTGGGCCATGGCTTCAGTGGCTCTTTCTCCTGGTAGGGATGACGGGAGAATTCATCCAATTTACCTAGAGGCGTCTTAGCACGCAGTTTCTTTTGGAAGGCAATAAATTTTTCCGAGGTTGTCTTCGGCGGCGCCTTAATCTCGACAACGCTGTCTTTGCCACCAACGACGGCTCTGCAGGCGCTGCTCGTGGATAAGTAGCTCACTATTTCAAAATTAGCGACAAATTTGACAAATTAAAGATACTGCAATTAAAAACACACTAAACACACACACACACCTTGTTTGCTCATCTGCGGCATTGCGCGCAGAGTTTGTTTTGCCATCGACTGCATTTTGGTATTCTGTTTCTTTTTTAAGTTCAAGTTTTTATCTGTTCTTATTTACAGTTATTCGAAGTACCGGTAACTGCGTTTACTTTCGTTGTTGTTGCGGTTATAATTGAATATCGCACTTATGTTGACACTTGCTCGGCTTGTGCACGTTTGTGGCAACTGAACTGTAGCTCGTTGTTTTTATAGCTCCGCAAGACAACGAGTAGCCGTTTTTACTTTGTAGCTGATGCTTCTGCGGTTTCGTTGAAAGCCGCACGTTCAGATTTTTCTCTTTTCTGTTGTGGTCTGTTACGTATTTCACTGGTATAGCGATATTGATAACATAAGAGTTATCGAAAATAAGTGGCGATAAACAGCTTAGGCGATTGGTTATGGGCAGTGACGTCACAACTAGCGGACATTAGCGGAAAAACTTAAACATGAAAAAAATAATAATAATAATAATTTTTAAAAATATGTTTATAATCAATATATTAACAATTTTTTAAATTTAAATAAATGTTGCTATTGCTGTAGTCGGGATTTTGTAAAAAATTCGACGAAATCTTCTCAGCCGCTTATCCGCGTTCGTATCGATTCCTGGACAATGTTGGTACATCGATATAATTCGATTCGATACTTTTATGTTTTTGCTTTGTAAGCAGTTGTCCGCATTGTTTTTTTATATTTGTGTATTGTTTCACATTTATTTTAGTTTGTAATGTTGCCGAGGACACCGAAACCTGCAATTTGGAGATTCATCAAGGGTAGCGCCAAGACACTCTTTGTGCTGGAAGCCGTCTGCTTTGCTGCCAGCTACGGTCTCTACTACCGCATGAACACAGACCAAGGTAAGTGCCACATTTAGCTTTACATAAGCATCCGCCTAAACGTTTACCTGCAGATTTCCGCCGGTACATTAACGAAAATTATCCCTACGCCCTTGATTATTACTATAAAATTGGTGAAATTGTTGGAGACAGTAAGGCACGCGAAACAGACGCAAATTTTTGGAGGAGCTCAGCGGAGCGATTCAAGAAGGAATAAACAGTTATACCGATTACTAATTACCAATTCCCTATGGCGAGCAATCCTTATGTTAAGTCTGTAATTCTACTGCTTGGCTCTGGTGGCATTGGATATGGTCTAATGCTGCTTACTGAGCCAAGTGCCGAGAAGTTGGAGCGCATTAAAGCATCCGGATCACTTAATGCAGACCAACAAAAAAAGGCATTGTTCATGCAAAAACTAAAGGAAGCGGCAACAGATAGCACTCCAATATACAGGCAAAAACCAGGTGCAGATAAAAAAGATAACTAGACTAAGTTATTTGTAATTGAATTGTTATATAACCAAATTTTGTTATAGAAATGCACATTTTAACTAGAATATTGAATATTCGCTAAAACTAAAAATACAATTTTCATAAAGTTATACCATGAGCTACTTATATGTGCTTTGCTTCCAGGTAAACAAAAATTACATTATATTTTGAAAATACTTTGAGACATCTGTACCAAAGTATAACAGATTTCAAGTAGAACGATTGGTACATATGAAGATCACACAGATATTCCAAAAAAAAACCTTGTATATTTTTATTAGACAAAATTAGTTTGTTAACGTGTCTTCAATATTATAATTTGTTGCCAAATATACAATTATTTAAATGTATATTGAAATTTAGCTGGTAAGTGGTATAACATATTTTGGTACATTGGTTTTGCTCATCGCTAATCCAATATAACATCGTTTCTTCGCTTACAATACTAATCGATATAAGATTTCATACTCAAACTCGATATGCTGATATGCCATTTCAGCATTTGGCATCACTCTCGATATATTAATAGGTTTAAACAGCGACACTTCGCCACTCTGCTGAAAAAAAGGAAGAAAGACATTAATAAATATACAGGATGTCGACTGAAAATATACCACTGTTAAATGTTAATGGCCCGTCCGCGGTGCAGTTCGGTGCTAGTAAGGAGTTTCAACAACGCTCCGAACAGCAGGATTTAGATAGTGCATTTGTGGGCTGTGAAAAGCGACCGTGGATGCAGGGAAAGAACAAACCGAACGCCCACAGGGAACGTGAAGCCATAATGACCCTATTTGCCAAATCCAAACAGGATTATGTAAACACCAATAACGTGGACAAACTTCTCGAGGAGCACATTAACTTTCGCGACTTGGCCTCACTCTCCGATGAAGATCTGGAGATGTTTGGGTTTTCTAAGACAAGGGAGCGCGCAGAGTGTCTCAAAATGTTTGCAGTGCTGCCGAATCAGGATCCTAGTTATGAATCCTTATGCCAATCAAAGAACGCGCAAATATATAATAATCAAATTGTTGGAAATGCAGCTAATCATCTAATGTACCTGCGCTCGTCTTTGGCAGCCACGAATTACAAATTGCAAGTGCTGCCGCCAGAGGATATGGTAGTCGGCGACAAGCGTTATGCAAGTCGCTTTGCACTGGAGGCCTTGAACAGCGTGCAAACCATTTCGGACGAGCTAAGCAAGGATCTACGTAAACTGCAGCAGCTACAGATGTCCGAAAGTTGCAAACAAAATGAGGAACAGGCGAGGGACTCACCCGCCAAGGAGGTGAGCGATTCAAAAGTGAGCAAATCTTATATGAAATTAATCATATTTATATATACATTCACAATATAGCGTAATCTAAAGCTTCTCTACTTTACGGCAATTGCATTGGGCACGGCTGGCGCCTGGTTCTGGTGGTGGTTGAAACGCAGTCAGAGCCCAAATCTAGGGAATATTTCAGTTAAGATCTAAGACATTCCATATTTTAGATATATACGATGGTCGTTTGTGGTACTTGTTATCAGAACTGCCTCGCATATAGCTTACATGAGATGCATTTTGTATTTACTGAATATTCTTCGCTCGAAGTTTGTAGTTTGTAAGTTTATTCCATTTGAAACGAAACACCATTTATGTTCCCAATTTTAGATATATACAAATGCTTTCTTTAACAAGCATGCCCCATTCAAAGACTTTGGAATCTCTTAACATATAATTAAGCTACTTAGCATATATACTATTACATTTACCTACAATATATATATACATAGAAACTAGTCTACAAAATGTGTGATCCGAGGTTGAACAAACAGACTCCTGTCGTATATTCATCAATAAAAGTTAAATAAGTATTAAAGTAGTTTACAATTTGAGAGATAATAAAGAAGTTTAACCATATAATATTTAAATATATACCGGAGATACAGAAAAGAATCATGATACACTATATTTATTATTTAATGTACAAAATAACATTTTCAGATTTACTAATATGTATTTAGTTTACAATATATCATACATTGACTGTTCTATGATTTAACCTCCTCGGCAAGCAGCAGAAACACCAAATTCACATATGCATCAACATGCTCTGGAAACTCCCACTTCGTTGTATGGGCAATCAGTTGAGCTCTACTAGTGGAGTGGGCTATATTACCTAAAACCAAATACAAAATATTATAAAGTTATATAGTTATAAGACATGAAGAGTGCGCAATATAGAATTTGTCTCGATTATAGATTTCCAATTTATAGAGTCTATATGTACTATTCAATGTTCAACTGCTCTAGTGTAGTAATAGGGCTAGTTATTGGAGTACATTTTAGAATTTTGCTCCACTTACGCATCACATGCTGTTTTACCATCGATTCCTGTCTGTAACGCTTAACCAGTTCCTCGGTGAAGGACACAAACTCTGTCAACTTCCAAGTTCTATAAAATATCACATTCGATGTAATGCCCGCTAGCAAAGTCAACCCACGCAGCTGTCGCAAAATCTCACGAGTGTTTGTAAATATATCAACAAATATCGACGTAATAATGGCCAATTTGTCGCAGCTCATATGCAGATCCTCTGGAAAATAGCCGTTATCTGCATTATCGTAGCAACGCGTCTTTCGCGCCTCAATCGCGTAGCAGAGGGACGTGCCCCGCTGTTGAGCCATTTGCCATTTGGCATAATTAGATTGCAAATTGGCTACCAGCCCTTGCAGTTTAGCCTTACAGCTAGCCAGGTTGGCGTCGTGCTTGATCGCCGGTGACTGCACGCGATGGCTGTCAACAACTAAAAAACACAGAATAAATCATTTATGTGTTCTCTTTTATTGTATTCTAATTACTTACAACGCACTGGTGTTAAAGACTTATTCAATTGGTCCATTTATGTTACAAATAGCGACAGCAAACCAATTAATTTTGGAATCAAATAAAAACATACCCAGAATTTAAAGAAAAATATTAGAAATAAACAATAAGCCAACCAGCTGACATGTATCGTCTAGCCGATTTGAGAGCTACCGATTACAAAATTCGTTGAGTGCATATCGCACACATCAAATATCAGCTGCTGACTGGTTCCGTGCCGTGTTCGTGCTAAAGACTACCCCAACAATCGATAGCTATCGGCGCCTGAAAGCTCACACACACATATACTCAAAGTGTCAAAAAAGTGCCGGTAATCATTTTCAGACATTTCCAAAATACATTCAGTCGAAGTAACTACGTAAAGCGCTACAACTAAATCAAATTTTCTTGAAAACAAAATGTCGACCTGGACACCATTGGAATCTAACCCGGAGGTAATAAACTAACTTTTCTACTCTGATTAAGAATTGTTTGCATTTGCCATCTGCTGTTGCAACGCAGTTCTGTGAATTTGATTTGCAATTCGTCATATTAAAAGAGACGCCATGTTGATTGCCTGTAACCCATTCCCAGGTACTGACCAAATACATACACAAGCTGGGTGTGTCGCCATCCTGGTCAATCACTGACGTCATCGGCCTGGATGAGGAGTTATTGGCCATGCTGCCCCAGCCAGTCAAGGCTCTCATTTTGCTATTTCCCATTAGCGATGCAGTTAGTTCGAATTACAATTGTTGATTTCCATTTACTGATGTCTAGTCTTCGTAGTATGAAAAGCACCGTGCCGAGGAGCATGAGCGTATCAAGTCGGCAGCTGAGCCTCTGAAGACCCCAGCTGATCTTTTTTATATGCGTCAATTTACACACAATGCCTGCGGCACCGTTGCCCTCATCCACAGCGTGGCCAACAACAAGGAGTGGGTACTCAGTGATATCATCTCGCAAGTTTAAGTAAGCAATATATGTATATCTCTCTTAGCATTGACATTGGTGATGGCGTACTGAAGAACTTTTTGAAAAGCTGCGCCAACATGTCGCCGGATGAGCGTGGTCAGGCCTTGGAGAAGGACAAGGCCTTCACCGAGGATCATCAAATGTTGGCGCAGGAGGGCCAAACCGATGCTGGCAACTACGAGACAGTCATCCATCACTTCATTTCCCTCGTCAACATCGACAACACACTCTACGAGCTAGATGGGCGCAAGTCGTATCCCATCAATCATGGCAAAACCTCGGATGAGACTTTCTTGCCAGACGCTGCTAGGGTGTGCAAGGAGTTCATGGCCCGTGATCCGGATGACATGCGCTTCACTGTCTTGGCTCTAACTGCTACCCAGGAATAGAAAGTGAGGGAGAGAGAGCGCCTCATCAAATACTAATACATGATCTCTGATCAAATACATAAACCATAACTAAATCTATTTTAACCCTTTGTAAGGCCACGCAGTAGAAGTTCTGCTGGTCATGTTTGCTGGCCATAAAACAAAATTTATATATATACATATATAATATGATCTCTGATCGTATGCATAACATATTCATATTCTAACCATTTTGTAAAGCTAAGCAAGAGAATCTCTGCTGGTTATTAAAACAAAATTTTGTCATGCATATTTAACCAAAAAATATATTTGAAATATTTGTGAAACCTTTGAGTAAGCCTAGCCTGGTAGTTAAACCAAAATGTACTCAAATATTTATTACTGTTAACAGACAGGTGTCCATCACTCGTAGACTTTACTGTGGTGGTTCAGTCACTAATGCTGCTCCACCACCGCATCAGCTGTTGGCCTTTAGCGATAGCCACTGCGCATGCCCCTTCCTTTGGATACGCTCCACGTAATTGTTTGACAGTTGACTGAAGCGAAATACCACGAGCATTGTTTTTTCTTAAATTATAAAAGATATTTATTTGGAAATTGGTTATAGTAAAAATTGTAAAGGACATTAAGAAAGCAAAACCCTCCAGTGTGCCCAGCAATAGAGTGAGACAGCGAGAGAAAGGGAGAGAGAGACTTATGTGTGGTCGATTTGATTGCTCGGCATCATGAAGCTGCTGCTCAAGGAGCTGACGCGTTTAACCACGCAGCATCGCACCTTCTATTGCTACATGTTGCTCAGCATCTGGATATTTCTGCTAATTGCAGGTATGTTCAGGACCTAGTAGACCAGCTAGCTATTAAAGTCTTGATATATGAGACTTTAATGAGCTTCCTCTTGACCTTCAGATTTCGCACTCAGTTTATACAATTCGTATTCAATCTCTCTTGCAGGCATGTATCGCTATATGGGCAACATGGAACGTCTTGGCAATCCGGGCAGTGGCTTTGGCATTGGCACTGCCAGCTCGGGACTTGCTCCAGGAGCTGGTGGTAACGACGCCGCAAGCAGTGCTCAGCGTTTTGCCAAATATCGCGAACGCTGCGCGCCGCTCAATCAGCTAACGCGCCTGGACGATGGTGGCATACTGGAGGGTTGGAAGCTACAGGGAGTGCTCCTGGTCATACGACATGGCGATCGTGGTGCCATGTCCCACGTGCATGCCAACGGCATCAATTGTGGCGTGCCGCCCGATGGAGACAGCCTGGTCAACAAGTGAGCAGATGCGTCTAATATTCTAACTAGAATTAATCAATTCCAATTGGACCGAATCCATCCACAGATATCGCAGCTTTCTGCAAAACTCAAGCAGCTCTGCGTCTGGTTCGAATCATTTGTACTGGAGCAAAGTGGGTCCATTTCATGGGTTTCCCCTGCTACCCGCCACGGAGCGAGGCTGTCCATTGGGTCAGCTGACGTACAAGTAAGTTGCTGGAGGGGATTAACGAGGTTAAAGCAGTAAAAGGGAGGCAGATTACTGTAGAGTAACGAAAGCCAATTACCAAATGAATTGCAATAAGCTATAAAGGATTACCTGTTCTATAGTTAGTGGATATGCATAATCTAAGAAAGAAAGAGCAGGTGATCCTTGGTAGGCCCTGCATGGCAAGCTGAATAGGAAACATCTCCTTCGATTTCTATTCTCTGTGCACTTCCCAGTTTATATTTATCCATTGAATCACCTTTTTTATCCCGCAGAGGCATTGCCCAGCTGCTGCACGTGGGTGACATCATGCACCAGATCTACGCCCATCCGCTGGGCCTGCTGCTCAAGCCGAATGCCCTGAAGGTGGGCGTGGACACGACGCCCCACACGCTGCTCAACTCGGACGAGGTGGTGGTCTTCACGACGCGCTATCGCCGCACCTTTCAGTCGGCGCTCGCCCTGCTCTTCGCCCTGCTGCCTGCGGACAAGTGGCTGGCGCTGAACGTGAGGGAGTCGCACAGCATGGCCTTCTGCTTTGGGGACTGCTCGTGCGGCCAGTCGCTGGTGCTGCGCAAGCGGCTGATGCAGCTGGCGGACAGGCAGCTGGTGAAGCGCTCCGATGTGCTGGCCGTGATGCAGTGGATCGGCGGGACTCTGATACAGCACACAGCTAACGAGGGGGGCGTGACGAATCCCTTCGAGGTGGTGGATGCCATGCTCACTGTGCTCTGCCATGACGCCGCCTTGCCGTGTCGCAGACGCAATGGCAGCCGGACTGCCAGCACCCTGGCCCACAATCCCGAGCTGGTCGACGTCATCAACATCGACCAGGACGAGGCGAATGTGGCGAATCTTATGCCAGGAGGAGCAGCGGCAGCAGCGGAGCTGGAACAGCAGCAGCAGCTGCAGGAGGAGGACGAGGCAGCTGCCTCCAATGGCGGCTGCGTGGAGGCCTCCCAAGTAGATGCCCTCATGTCCTTCGCCGACGAGCTCTCCCTGCGCACTGCCCAGCACATCTACTACAAGCGATCGGGCCTGCTCCGGGCGTACGGCATGATCCGGCATATAGTTGGCTATATGCTAAAGATGATATCGGGCGATCGTACCAAATTTGTGCTCTACTCTGGCCACGACTGCACCATGCAATATTTGACGGCTGCCCTGGGGATAATTAGTAATCGTGATGGAAAGACGATCTCGTACGCCTCCCGATTGGCCTTTGAGGTCTATCGCTCCGATGCTCATACGGACTACTATTTCCGTGTCGTCTACAATGGGCGCGATGTGACGCAGCAGATCGATTTCTGCGAAGGTGGCAAAAGTTTACGGGTGACTCGGGACAGCCGTGGCAACAAGGCCGATCTGTGTCCCATCGAGAACATTATACGATTTCTGCACGAGGACTATTTCGCACCATTGAATGCGACCAATTTCAAGGAGGCCTGCGCAGCGCCTGTCTCACAGTCAGCCAAAGCGAACGAGTTCTAGTGGCACTGGGTTCCATTCTCAGCTGTGATAAGTATTATGTTATATACATATTTAGTTAAGACGAAATCCAACAAATGACGAAACTTTGTGAACACTTACCAGAGCGCTCACCATACAACAACAGCAACGAAATCTGTGCTACAGTTTGCAATCCCAACTCGACTTCGTATTCGTATTCGCTCTCGGCGAGCAATGGAGCCTTATGTGTGATTGAAGGAGATGGCAACTGTCACTCACACTATTATATTTTTACTTTCGATTGCTTACGTACCTTTTTGTATGTAGGCGTGAGTCTTAATTCTAGTGCCGCTTGAAAGAGATGGCAACTCCTTTACACACAAATCAACTGTGTTTACACTCACTTTTAATTGTTGTTCAATGCCTAGTGCGCTCGAGGGGGACAGCAACTCTCTCTCACACAAATCTGCTTTAACATATTTTCAAATGCTTGATGCATGTGTGTACGTGTGTGTCCTAACCCTAATGCGATCGAAGGAGATAGCAACTCCCACTCACTTTGCAGCTCTGTTCTCGTTTATTTTCAAATCATTCTCAAATGTATGTATGTATGTGTGTATGCATGCAATTGCTGACTACATTTCTGCTCATCGCTTGCCTATTGAGTGAAGGGTATCCCAATGCAGCTGTAGAAGCACTCCAAATTTTGTTTGGCAGGATAACTATGCGTTGTTGTATGGCTAGTGACTAATTGAAACCAAACATATCAATTGAATCGCACACATTTTACTCTAAGTTAGTATATACATATCTACATATATAGCAGAATTTTAGCATAATTGTAATTCCTAGACCGATACATATCAGCGGTTGCTTCCACAGGGGCGATCCTTAACATTTTCTAGGTTAAGTTCTATGAGATGACATATCTCTATGAGACATACATACATATGTGTATTACATATGTTTATTACATATCAGCAACATATCATGTGCAACACTTACCTACAGTTTTCTAAAACAAATATACAACATTTTCCTCCCTCAGTTAATTATTTAAATAAATGTTAAAGAAAAAGAATAACAAACTATACTCGGGTATATTTAAATAAGTAAACGCTAATAATAACGATGCATTTTATATATATACATATGTGTGTATGCTAAGGTGCACATTTGTCCAAGCGACTGCGACGGCGTTCAAACGTCGACTGACTGTAGGCAATGCATTTGCAATTTTGCGGCTCAGTGAAGTGCATTTGCGTGTGTGTGAGTATGTGTGTGAGTGTGTGTGGGAATGTGGGCATGTGCATGTGTGAGCGCACGATGAGCATCGGCTTCAAAGCAGCGTCGTGAGTGATAAAGCAAACGAGAGCAAAGGCACCGCCAAAAGGGGGCGAAGCAAGAACAAAAGTACATAGCGAGAAGAAGAAATAAAAATGAAGGCAAATTGCGTTGACGTTGACGTGGACGTTGACGTCGACAGCGGCAGAGTGGAGAGTGGAGCCGTTATTACTTATCTGTGTGCGGTTTGGGTGGAGTGGGGAGCACGCGCGCAAGTAACGCGGCGAATACACACAAGCACAAACACACATATAGAGAGAGAGAGAGACAGAGAGCACACAGAGTGTCGTGCGAGGAGTGGCAGATGCCTGGCTGGCTGGTTGGTTGGTTGGTCGGCTGGAGGGGGCAGAACAAGCGAGCGCGCAATGAGCGTGTACAGAGACCGAGCGTCGATTGTACAGCGATTGTAATGTAAAATCGACGCTCTGCTCACTGCTGCGAGCCTGTTGACATTCAGTACATTTTGTTACTTTTGTGCACGCAGCTGGCGACGGCGGCGCCGACGATGACGAAGCAGCCGCACAGAGCAGGAGTTGTGAGGCCCACGGCCGTAAAAAGGAGCAACGCCCCACACAACCAGCCCCAATATACTACATATAATAAAAATTTATCCACACGCTCACTGGCTGGCGCTGAAACGTGTAATGGACCCAAATATCTTGGGTCTTACGCCAGGGTTCGTTCCGAGGACGTTCACGTGATTGCTGTAAAACTGTAAAACGCCGTTTACCTTATCCGCACACATAATAACCATATCCACGTAATCGCTGTCGTAATGCTAATGGCAGCCCTGGGGCAGTCGTCGCTCGCATGGTGCATGGTTGTGTTACATTGGGAAAAGGAGCCCAGAACTTGTAGCCGCGTTGCACTTTGGCAAAAGCAACAAGTGTGAATGCACGAGTTGAGCGTGATCGACTGGTAGATGCCCTGTAAGTTGTTGAGAAGTGTACTTGCCTAGCTAATGTGGGATGCAGAATTGTTCTATAAGCAATATTTAATAATAATGCAAATATACATTAATTGCATTATTATTACATCAATTGATTCTCCTAGTTACATATGTCAGTTGCATTCGCTTGCTAAGCCACCTTCTGCCAATCTATACGGCTACAGGGTATTCCAGCAAAACCAAAACGGATTTTATACTCGCTTACATGTGTGAGTGTTAGAGAGAATGAGAGAGAGAGACAGCGATATAGAGCGAGCGAGGTATGGGCGGGGCAGGTGCAGCCGCCTGGCGGGCAGAGTCGTACTGCACTCAACAGGCAACAACAACTCAACGCGAACATCTCTCGATGGGGGCTGCGACGTCATTGTGCTCAATTTGCTGCACGCCGCTGTCAATGCCTACGTCTCTTGCGATGTGTGTGTGATGGGGGCAGCGAGATGCTGTCTGTGCGTGGGTATGTGTGCTCAGCTCCAAAAAGTGCATTGCATCGCCACTATTATCTCAAAATGCAGCTCCCTCTCCTGCTCTCAACAACTGCAGTGTGTCTCTGCATGTGTGTGTGTGCTGAGAATGCAAGCGCATGACTACAGTGGGTCAGTCTCATTTGCTGCTAGCGAAATACCCCAAACACAAGTCCATTGCCATGTTCTTTCTAATGTGCAGCAAGATTTGCCAAATATATATGTACAAATTTGCATTTTGTTACATTGCTATAGCTTAAATATATTTATTTAATACATTTTACTTTTTACTACAGTCTGATTAGCTTTTGAGTCACTGTAAGGCTGACAGTGTTCAATTGCATTGTGTTTTGCCCACTCACTTGTTGCTCCGCTCTCTCTCTCTTTCTCGCTCGTTTGCTCGCACACAAAAACGTAAAGAGCTGCAATGTACAAACAGAAAAATACACACACTCGTACACACACACATATAGGCACAGAAACAAGCGCGACTGCCAATTGGCTCAGCTGCGAGCAGCCGAGTGCAGCCAACAATAACAACAACAGTGGGCACATGTGCATTGAGCATTGAGCAGGGGAACCGTTGGAGCGGCCGCATAGTAAGAAATAAAAAGAAACAAATTGAGTTTTGTTGATGCACGCGCGCACCTCCGTGTATATGAGCGTGTGTGTGTGTGTGTGTGTGAGTGAGTGAATGTGTGTTGCTCTCTTTCGGACTGTGTGCATTTTTGTTACAAATGTCGGGGCCCGCCTTTGCTCAATGCTGCGGCTCTGTTACAAAATATTGGCGAAGAAAAATCATACAACGTTTTTTTTTCAAACTTTTTTTCAACCATTTTTCATCGGTACGCGTGCGACTGTGTGTGAGTGTGAGTGCGATTGAGCAACGTTATGAGTGCGTGTGTGTGTGTGTGTGGGTCCGGGCAGGTAAGCGAACTCCCTATGTGTAGCTTATGCAAGCACTGTGGAGTGGGGGCTCCTAGGCCAACGGCTGTTGCCTATTTGGGGGAAAGCGTGGACAGGATTTTTCTTCGAGCAATAGACGAACACCAGTTCGGTCGTTGGTCTATGCTGTCTGCGCTCTCTGTACTCGGCTAGGTGAGCCGCTGGCCCCTTCTAATAGTCGAACCAAAAGTTTTTCCAAGCAGTCAAACTAGGCTCCATAGGCTCGACAGCCCCGCCTACCGCCGAGCGGAGCGGATCGGAGATGCACTTTTCAAATGTGCGCAGCGGGGGTTGGGCGCACACAATTTTCCACGCAAACATCTTGGCGGAGGAGCCACACACACACTTATAGACTCTATATATACACATAGAGAGCTTGAGATAGTCAAAGCGAGAGAGGGAGAGAGAGAGCGCGCGAAAGAGGGAGAGGCAGCCGGCAGAAGCGGCGATAGCTGCAGCTACGCGCACATAGAAGAAATTGCAACGAAGCGACGTCGTAATTGCACCTCGGCGCAAGCAAATGGCGTGAGCAAAGAGCAACAGAAATGTGGATCGAGAGGGCTACAGGGGTAGAGGGCCAATAGGCGTGCCCATAAAATGGCATATTTAGTAAGTACCTAAGAGCAAGTACTTGTTGCTTACAACTACACTTACTATATGTGTGTAAGTAATTACATATCGTAGTCGGTGCACAGCGACTAGCCCTAGCAACAGCAACAGCAGAAAGCGAAACATCTGGCAACGCCGAGCACCCAAGATAACTAACCAGAGCACCCGATCAGAGCTGAGAAAACTCCTATAATTAACTCTTCAAAAAGTTGATAAAGATTATTGAATAATTTCCAAAAATCATACAAAATAGGAGTCAAGAAAACAGTTAACGCCTTTTCACTCAAAATGGCGTATAGGCCATGAACTCCATTTATTTCAACGCAAACAAAATCTAAATCTAATATTAAACAATGGCAAGCTTAGATCAGCTTAGATCAGATTACATACATACATATACATATATGTATGTACATATATCGTTGCCATTGGTAGTCAAAAAATGCAGGCCAGTAGTAAGTAATCTTAAAGAACCAAATTATAACCGAGGATAGTTTAGAAACTTAACATATACATATGTATAATAAAGAAAATTGTAATTGTTGATTCTGAGCAAATTTACATATGTGTGTATATTTTCTTTAATTCACATTTTAGAGACTACCCTCGTCATATACGTCAATGTCTATATATTGGAAAATTTCTTAGTTTTGTTAACATTTCTATATTCTGTACAACTTTTTAAATTGAACAAAAATTTATATTTAAATTGTAGGTGCTTTATTTGGATATTCATCACATATGGATAAGTGCAGGAGACTGAGACTGAAGGTAAAGCCCATCGACAACAAGTATCAGAGGTACTGGAGATATTTACCCCATCCGCTATG